AAAAAACTTTTTATACAAATATGAGATGGTTACGATTATTTCTTTTGAACGTACAGAAGAAATTGTTGGGTTAAAGGAAATGCAAATTTAGGACTTTTGCTGCTTAGTCAAATTTGAAGACTTTTAGATATTAATCTAAGGGGTATAAGAAAGGATAAAAGGAAGTTTCTATTCAAAAGGCAATAAATGTATCCTCAGATATTCTATGCATACAGCATCATGGTATATGACCTTTAAAAATAAATACAAAGCTGAGTGTGGTGGCTCACACTTGTAATCCCAGCTACTCGGAAGGCTGAGGTAAGAGGATCATTTGAGTTCAGGAGTTCAAGACTGTAGCGTGCTGGGTGGCACCTGTAGCTCAGTGGGTAGGGTGCCAGCCCCATATACTGAGGGTGGCGGGTTTAAACCCAGCCCTGACAAAATCAACAAAAAAACAGCCAGGCGTTGTGGCGGGCACCTGTAGTCTCAGTTACTCGGGAGGCTGAGGCAAGAGACTCACCTAAGCCCAGGAGTTGGAGGTTGCTGTGAGCTATGACACCATGGCACTCTACTGAAGGCAATAAAGTGAAACTCTGTCTCTCAAAAAAAAAAAAAAAGACTAGTGTGCTATGGCACCTGTGAATATAGCTACAGCACTTCAGCCTGGTTAACATAGAGACTGTCTCTAAAAAAATAACAATTCTAAGTTAGAAAAAATAAATACAACCAGGCTTGGTGTCTGTAGCTCAAGCGGCCAAGACGCCAGTCACATACACCAGAGCTAGTGGGTTCAAATCCAGCCTGGGTCTTGCCAAACCACCATGACAAGTACAACCAAAAAATAGCCGGGTGTGGTGGCAGGCACCTGTAGTCCCAGCTACTTGGGAGACTGAGGCAAGAGAATCACTTAAGGCCAGGAGTTGGAGGTTGCTATGAGCTGTGACTTCGCGACACTCTACCCAGGGCTACAACTTGAGGCTCTGTCTCAAAAAAAAAAAAAATACAACCAGCGGTAGACAACTTCTTTTTTTATATTAACAAAGATCTTGGATAGATATAACCCTATACTCTTATTTATGTAAGTTGCCATAGGCAGCCCAAACCTTCCAGTCTTCCCTTATCTCTCATCTCCATATGATTCTGATCTCCCTAATCAGTCCCTTTTTTTTTTAAAGACAGTCTCATCATGTCACCCTCAATAGAGTACCATGGCATCACAACTCACAGCAACCTCCAATTCTTGGGCTTAAGTGATTCTCTTGCCTCAGCCTCCCAAGTAGCTGGGACTACAGGTGCCCACCACAACACCCAGCTTTTTTTGGTTGTTGTTGTCACTGTTTGGCAGGCCCAGGCTGGGTTCGAACCCACCAGCTCT